AAAAAACTTACGCCAGCTACACCACTTTGCTTATATATATATATATATATATATATATATATATATATATATAATCTCTATTTATGTATCTGTTCTTCTACGAAACTTCATCTCTCTTGTGGGGGGAGGAGAGGATTTTCGGCCATCTGCAAATTTATCTTTGTGTAAAGAGCGACAAAAAACTCACGCCAGATACACCTCTTTGTATATATATATATATATATATATATATATATATATATATATATATAATCTCCATTGATGTATCTGGTCTTCTACGAAACTTCATCTCTCTTCCTGACATTGTTTATCTTGTATCGTAATCAGGGTTATTTATGCTATTATATATTTCTGTCCTGGGGTTAGTTGGCTGAGACACAGGTACCAGCATGAATGTTCTATTGCAATCCAAGAATACTAGATACCTCTGGTTGGATAACACAATCACAATAGGTGTATATTGTGAAGAACAATGACAAAATTAAACGACCTCTGTAATGGAAAGATCTGACCTGTTCGTGGTCTCACTAAGTCCCTGTAATGGACAGATCTGAACAGTTCATGGTTTGACTAAGTCTATGTAATGGAAAGATCTGACCTGTTCGTGGTCTCACTAAATCTCTGTAATGGACAGATCTGAACAGTTTATGGTTTGACTAAGTCTCTGTAATGGAAAGATCTGACCTGTTCATGGTTTCACTGAGTCTCTGTAATGGACAGATCTGACCAGTTCATGGTTTGACTAAGTCTCTGTAATGGACAGATCTGACCAGTTCATAGTTTCAGTAAGTCGGTGTTGGTAGAGATGATTAATTCGGAAAACAGTTAAGGGCTAAAATAAAAAGAGCCCATCAATGTTGCGATAAAAGCCATGTTTCAGTTTTTCTGGTTTTTGTTTGGGTATATTAAAGCCATGTTTCAGTTTGCGTTGTAGGTATGAAGAAATGATAAAAGCCATGTATAATTTTTTTGTTTGTTCGTGTTTATAATTAAAACCATTTTCAGTGTGGGTGGCTGATGTGCGGGTATAATAAATGCCATGTTTCATTTCGGGTGGCTGGTGAGCGGGTATAATAAATGCCATGTTTCATTTCGGGTGGCTGGTGAGCGGGTATAATAAATGCCATGTTTCATTTCGGGTGGCTGGTGAGCGGGTATAATAAATGCCATGTTTCATTTCGGGTGGCTGATGTGCGGGTATAATAAAAGCCATGTTTCATTTCGGGTGGCTGGTGAGCGGGTATAATAAATGCCATGTTTCATTTCGGGTGGCTGGCGAGCGGGTATAATAAAAGCCATGTTTCGTTTACGGTGGATGATGTGCGGGTATAATAAAAAGCCATGTTTTATTTCAGTTGTTGATGTACTGGGATCGACCAGACGTCACGCAGGGGAACCTAATGAACAGTCAGATGTGATAGGCACTTCACACGAACAGGCCTGGGAACATGAAGTCGGCCAACTTGTACCCGTGGTGTGTGGGGTGAGCGGGGGTATCACCTTAATAGGAGCATATCTAATACTTGCATTTAATTCCTAGACAAAATGGGGCTGGGTGCACGGGCTTTCACACCGACTTTTATTAGCTTCATGTGGCGCAGAACAAATTGATGTAAGTTGTAGATTGTATTCGTGTCTTTATCCAGTGTAGCCTAACGCTTTAGTTAAACCAGCGTTGCCTAATGTTAGTTAAACCAGTGTAGCCTAATGATAGTTAAACAAGCGTTGCCTAACGCTTTAGTTAAACCAGCGTTGCCTAATGTTAGTTAAACCAGTGTAGCCTAGTGATAGTTAAACCAGTGTAGCATAATGCTAGTTAAACCAGCGTTGCCTAATGCTTTAGTTAAAACAGCGTTGCCTAATGTTAGTTAAACCAGTGTAGCCTAATGATAGTTAAACCAGTGTAGCATGATGCTAGTTAAACCAGCGTTGCCTACGGCTTTAGTTAAACCAGCGTTGCCTAATGTGAGTTAACCCAGTGTAGCCTAATGGAACCAGCTCCCCTTCCATGTACGTCATAGTGAAACCTCGTCCCTTTTCAAAAAGTCCCTCAAAACTCATCTGTTTAGGTCCGCCTATGACCTGTGATGCATCCTCCTTGCCCTACCTAATTTTCTGTTTCGGTTTAATCCTGAAGTGTCAAAGTGTCCTCTTTTTATAGCCATTTTCATTGTTTCTATAGAATAGTAGTTACTATCCTAGTGTCTCATTTGTATTTACTTAGTTTACTTGTTTTAATATTTGTTTTAATATTTGTATTGTAAAGCGCTTAGAGCTTTATGATAAGCGCTATATAAAAATGCCTAAATAAATAAATAAATAAATAATGCTAGTTAACCAAATGTAGCCTAATGTTAGTTAACCCAGTGTATACTAATGCTAGTAAACCCAGTGTAGCCTAATCTTAGTTAACCCAGTGTAGCCTAATGCTATTTAACCACATGTAGCCTAATTTTAGTTAACCCAGTGTAGCCTAATGGTAGTAAACCAAATGCAGCCTAAGTTTATTTAATCCAGTGTATCCAAATGCTAGTTAACCCAGTGTATCCTAATGTTAGTTAACCCAGTGTAGCCTAATCTTAGTTAACCCAGTGTAGCCTAATCTTAGTTAACCCAGTGTATCCTAATGTTAGTTAACCTAGTGTAGCCTAATGTTAGTTAACCATGTGTAGCCTAATTTTAGTTAACTCAGTGTAGCCTAATGCTAGTAAACCAAATGCAGCCTAAGTTTAGTTAATCCAGTGTATCCTAATGCTAGTTAACCAAATGTAGCCTAATTTTAGTTAATTCAATGTAGCCTAATGTTAGTTAAGCCAGTGTAGCCAAATGCTAGTTAACCAAATGTAGCCCAATTTCACTTAATCCGTGTAGCCTAGTGTTAGTTAACTCAGTGTAGCCTAATGTTAGTTAACCTAGTGTAGCCTAATGTTAGTTAACCCAGTGTAGCCTAATGTTAGTTAAACCAGTGCAGCCTAATGTTAGTTAACCTAGTGTAGCCTATTGTTAGTGAACTTAGTGTAGCTCGATGTTAGTTAACCTAGTGTAGCCTGATGTAAGTTAACCCAGTGTAGCCTAATTTTAGTTAACCTCGTGTAGCCTAATGTTAGTTAACCCAGTGTAGCCTAATGTTAGTTAACCCAGTGTATCCTAATTTTAGTTAACCCAGTGTAGCCTAATGCTAGTTAACCAAATGTAGCCCAATTTCAGTTAATCCGTGTAGCCTAATGTTAGTTAACTCAGTGTAGCCTAATGTTAGTTAACCTAGTGTAGCCTGATGTTAGTTAACCCAGTGTAGCCTAATGTTAGTTAACTCAGTGTAGCCTAATGTTAGTTAACCCAGTGTAGCCTAATGCTAGTTAAACAAAAGTAGCCCAATTTCAGTTAATCCGTGTAGCCTAATCTTAGTTAACCCAGTGTAACCTAATGTTAGTTAACCTAGTGTAGCCTAATGTTAGTTAACTCAGTGTAGCCTAATGTTAGTTAACCTAGTGTAGCCTAATGTTAGTTAACTCAGTGTAGCCTAATGTTAGTTAACCCAGTGTAGCCTAATGTTAGTTAACCCAGTGTAGCCTAATGTTAGTTAACCCAGTGTAGCCTAATGTTAGTAACTCAGTGTAGCTCAATGTTAGTTAACCTAGTGTAGCCTAATGTTAGTTAACCTAGTGTAGCCTAATGTTAGCTAACTCAGTGTAGCTCAATGTTAGTTAACCCAGTGTAGCCTAATGTTAGATAACCCAGTGTAGCCTAATGTTAGTTAACCCAGTGTGGCGTGATGTTAGTTAACCCAGTATAGCCTAATGTTAGTTAACCCAGTGTAGCCTAATGTTAGTTAACCCAGTATAGCCTAATGTTAGTTAACCCAGTGTAGCCTAATGTTAGTTAACCCAGTATAGCCTAATGTTAGTTAACCCAGTGTAGCCTAATGTTAGTTAACCCAGTGTAGCCTAATGTTAGTCAACCTAGTGTAGCCTAATGTTAGTTAACCCAGCGTAGCCTAATGTTCTGAAAGGTTATCAAAAAGATTTCGTTATTTCTGACACGTTACGTTATCGATACTAATCCCACGAAGAGCCGATGCCACTGTCTGCATTTCTGCTCATGTCCTTGATGCCACATGCCAAAAAATGTAGAATTTCTGGACTCTGGCAGGAGTTGAAATTCAGTGCTAGTAAATTAAAGACAACATTTATTGGTACAGATTTTTTGTTCCAAGTCTTTCGACAGAGCCAATGTCAGGGGATCTAGCCGTGTATGAGACCGCTACAGTACTCCACTCTTAAGTTTGGGGTATCGGTTACATGTGTACCCGTCCATGTACCCATGTGAGTCATGTTCTATAGAAATTGGCCTACAGGGGCACATGGCCGAGTTTGGTGACTGACCACTTATCATGTGAACAACGGCTATGCTCTGTAGAGGCGTTACAGTTTTAGAGTAAAGAAATCTCAAACTGGCTTCAAACGGTTGACCATGTAAGTAATCCAACAACACCCCAACAACTACCTAATACTCCAACATCACCACAACCCAAAAACACCCCCAAATGCACTCCAACCTCCTCCCAAGAACACCCCAATAGCATGCCAACATCACCCCAACATTACCCCAACATCACCCCAAAAACACTCCAACAACACTCCAACAACACCCCAACAACACCTTAACAACACTCCAACAACATTCCAACAACACCACAACAACACTCCAACAACACCCCAAAACACCCCAACAACACCCCAATAACACCCCAACAACACCCCAACAACACACCAACAACATCCTCACAACACCATCCTTGAACTCCAGTCCCAACTATCCCCATATTTACTTACTGCGAGAGAGCTCTCGTCGCTACAAGGGCTGAGTCTGCTGAGAGATGCCTGGTTACTGCTGCTGCTGCACCCTAAAGTACTTGTACTGTGGCTTAAGGCACCGTGCGAGTTCACTAAAGCACCGTGCGAGTTCACTAAAGCACCATGCGAGTTCACTAAAGCACCGTGCGAGTTCACTAAAGCACCGCTGCCGTGACCGCCGTGATAGAGACTCATGTGGTCACCGGACCTTCCCAGACTGTCCATCGCTGCTTGGAATTCGGCCTCTGACTTGATCACGTGTCCTTGGTGGTCCGAGGGGAGGAGCAGAGGCACTCTGCTTAGACCGCTGTGGAAGCCGTCCATACCATCCGAAGTGGTGGAAGATCCCCTGGTTCCTGTCACGTGAACGAGTGTGTCCTTTTGTGTCGACAGACGACCTTCGGGTAGAGTTGCCAAGTCTATAAAGTGATGAATGAGATTTCCTGCAAGAAATGATATGTATCTGTAGAATTAATAGAATTACTGTACGTATCTATAGAATGACTGAATGTGTCTATAGAATTACTGAATGTGTGTTTGAATTACTAAATGTGTCTATAGAATTACTGAATGTGTGTATAGAATTACTGAATGTGTGTATAGAATTACTGAATGTGTGTATAGAATTACTGAATGTGTCTATAGAATTACTGAATGTGTCTATAGAATTACTGAATGTGTGAATAGAATTACTGAATGTGTGTATAGAATCACTGAATGTGTCTATATAATTACTGAATGTGTCTATAGAATTACTGAATGTTTCTATGGAATCACTGAATATGTGTCTATACAATTACTGTACTGAACTTTTTTTTTTACGCTGTTGGAGCTTTTAAATACAATACATGAATAGAAAGAAGGTAACAGGCAATGTATTCGATTGAACTAACTTGCTAACATTAGGTCGATCTGTTGTGGGAATGTTTAAAAATGACGTTTCTTTTACCTCGAACGTTAATAAAATACACATTAAATTTAAAGGAATTATCCAAATTAGTTCTAACTTCTGGACACTTTGGCGGGGCCGCCTTTTGAAGGAAGCGTTAGAGCCAAAGATACACAGAGACAGGTGATCTGTGAGACTTTTAATAGGGCCATTGAAATCAACATAAGCCACGGCGTGCCTGGACACGTTAGAAGAGAACTGGAAGGGGGTCAGAACAAGAAATTGAACGGTGTCAGAACCAGTCAATGAAGGGGGTCAGAACCATTTATTGAAGGGGATCAGAACCAGTCATTAAAGGGGGTCAGAACCAGTCATTGAAGGGGGTCAGAAGTCAGAACCAGTCATTGAAGGGGGTCAGAAGTCAGAACCAGTCATTGAAGGGGGTCAGAATCAGTCTTTGACGAGGGTCATAACCAGTTATTTAAAGGGTTAAAACCAATCAACAAAGCCATTTTGTTGACCTTTCTTCGTTGCAATCTCATCATTCTCTTTATCTATTTTAATCATTATTGTTTCACCCTGAATTTACTTTAAATCATATTTACTTATCCCATGTGTAATTAATATCTTCTTTAGTTATCTGACGTGCAATTAAAATCATTTTTGGCCATCTATTATGCTTTATGTTTACTATTTAGATGTGTTAGTGCTCTTAACACCAAATGTGTTCTTAACACCAATTGTGTTCTTAGCACCAAATGTGATCTTAACACCATTGTTACAAGTTTATTCAAAGTTATAACTTTGCTATTTTTAATAACAAGCAACCCATGATGTCACTTTCCTGCTTGTTTTAAACTTTGAAATTTTCTAGATTTAAGTGAAAGTGTATACCTTTAATCATGTGAATCATTAATCCTGTTTATACCTTTAATCATTCCCTTTGAATTATCTTATCACTATGAGTTGACCTACAAGGTTTGCCAATGTTAGATCAATATGAGTTGACCTACAAGGTTTGCCAATGTTAGATCAATATGAGCTGACCTGCAAGGTTTGCAATGTTATTGTTATATCAATATGAGTTGACCTACAAGGTTTGCCAATATTATATCAATATGAGTTGACCTACAAGGTTTGCCAATGGTAGATCAATATGAATTGACCTACAAGGTTTGCCAATATTATATCAATATGAGTTGACCTACAAGGTTTGCCAATATTATATCAATATGAGTTGACCTACAAGGTTTGCCAATATTATATCAATATGAGTTGACCTACAAGGTTTGCCAATATTATATCAATATGAGTTGACCTACAAGGTTTGCCAATGTTAGATCAACATTATTTTTTTTATGAGTTGACCTATGACAGGTTTGCCAATGTTAGATCAATAGGACTTGACCTGTAAGGTTTGCTCTTCACGTCTCAAAGGAACAAGATGTCGGCCATAATGAAATCTTTCATTGGTTCGTGTTATTAGTAAAAATTTGAATTCAAACTTTAAATATTTTTTTTTGTAATCATGCGGTTATTCATTCTGTTTAAACCAGACAACTGACATAGCATCACAACACTAAGCTATCGGGCATTAAAAGAAATGTTCACTTAAGATATGGTCTTTATTTAAATGGGTAACTACGTTAATATTATTTCGTAACCTTTGTTGTTTTTTGTTTTACTTCCTTCCATCTTGAATTTGAAACATGTAAAAAATTACTTCTAAGACTTGATGTGTCTTTTTTTAAAACCATTTGAATTCCATTTGTCTCTCACCAAATACAGAAATCACATTTTTGTCCACAATAACATAATCTTAACTTACATAATGGCCTGGTACGTCCTAAAGTGTCCCCATGGTCTGTGTTTGTTGCTTTCTTAACTCAACCCAGATGTCCTTACAGTTGAATGATACGATCAGGTATTTTGTTAACTCATTATGATAATCTTATATGGAGTCAACCATTTTGTTTAGCGGGCCCCTTTTCATATTTTGTAAGCTTGTGTACCTTCAAGTGTCTACGGCATGGGTCGCCGTTTGAGAACCTCAAAACAAAAAATATATCATGGTATTTATTCATGTTTATTATCCATGTTTATTTCTATGACTTCAAAGCTGTCTAGTCAGAGATAATGATATCGCTGCTCATCATCAGATCTCAAACCTCGTATAATTAACCCTCTGACCTCTGTATCAGATTTCACACGACGTGACGTCATTTAGGCCTATCCATTACATGAACGGCCCTGTTCTTAATGTTTATCGGAGAGAAGACAAAAAAAAAAAAAGATTATCCTAATCCTTTGCTTACCTTTTGAAACTTAGGAATAGTTGTTGATGAACCCACGTGCAGGATTCGATGCCGAGACCTCTCTCTCTCTCTCTGATTGCCCGCTACTAAAAGTCTCCCTTTGAAGCTAGTGCGAGGCCTTATCATCCACTCTCAGATACCACAGTTTTCGCCCCTTTGTTTTCAAACTTTCACCTTTTATCGCTCTCTATCTCATCGTCTTCAATTTCCAGACTAGACTCGCTTTTCTTCTCCCACTTTTCTTTCCTTAGTTCCTTTATCACCGAGATTCTTTATTGACGAGCTCTGGTTTGATTGACAAGCTAATCACACCCTAAGCCAATCTTACAAGCCAATCCTATCGCAAGATATCGGTGGGCTAAGCCCGCCCACCGGCGGAGCGACTCTCTGCCCTTGGCGTTATCCCCCCTCGAGTTTACCACGTGGGACAACTGAGGCGTTGGTCCGATGGTGGAATTATTTCCCCTGTTTCCACGGCAACGAAGTTTGATGGCACCATGACAGGTACGCCCTAGGGACGGTCGGTGTACAAGTCAAGTATTGGTTTGGTAGGATGTTCAGTTCATGTTCAGACTGGGATTCCGAATAATGTGACACTTCCTCTGTCTCTACTTAAACAATGCCCCCCCCCCACACACGATATTACACAATACCCAATTGCGTTACGCAACAGGCTATTGAGTAGCTCTTGGCATTACAGAGTGCCCCAAACACACCTGGCCTCATCTCCTCATATTATACGATACTTATGTCACACACCTCCTCCATTAACACAATACCTCCTCATATTACATACAACACAATGCCTCCCCAAAATAACACATTGCCTCCCAATGCTCCTCATATTATAAATATATTTATCGTATCATACAATACTTCCTTATCCACTTATTATTCAATACCTCCTAAATGTAACGTCTTCGCTCGTACTATACTAAGCCTGTAGGCCTACACAAGCCATTGTTTTAAATATTTCCATTTATTTAATTATAATTATTTATTATCTTGCCTCTTTATCAATGGTGTATCTGGAACAAAAGCCACTCAGGGTGCTTTCCTGAAATTGCGCCCCGTATTCATATGTATATGGGCCTAATGTTTGTTACAAACATCAACAATGAGCCGCCGGGGCAGCTTGTCCCATCCAATTCACCCCTTAAGTACGCCACTGATCCATTTGGCAAGCAGTACGGCCTCATCTTATTATAGACTACCTCAGTATCTTATGCAACAGACTTAAACAGGCCGTTTTAGCTTATAACCCGCCTTTTAGATTCTAGGACGTTTTCCTTAGATTGTGTGGTTATTAACACTGCAATAACGTGGCTACAAAGTTGTTGTTTTTTTTTCATCTCTACATGCTGGTTGTCTTTTGACTTAGTTACATTTAAGGAATTTTTGTGTCAACTCTTATTTTCAAGTGAATATTGTTATCCTATTCACATTAATGTAAGCCATCCCCATTGAAAACCCTCTAAAGTTATTTGACCAAATATGCATCCCAATTAGTGAGATAAATCAAAATGCTGTCACTGTCCTTAAGAATACCATGCACAAATAAATAGGCAATATCTGGTACGCGCGTAATGAGCACCAAATTGCACTTTGTTTGGTGCACTTCTAAGCTTACTTCGTGCCATTTTCTTTTGCGCACAAATTCTCAGCACATCATTACAGCCATACAGCCATACAGCCATGCAGCCATACCTACATACCAGGAGGATTATGGTTTGGTGAGGAAAAAGTTGTTTTTTCAAATCAAAGGAAGAGAAAACAATATTATAGCCATAGACTTGATTATGTGTAATCATGTTCTAAAAGTGCTACAGCGATGCCTCCCCTTCCAGACTACAACGATATCTCCCCTTCCAGGATACAGTGATGTCTCCCCTTCTAAACTAAAGCGATGTCTCCCCTTCCAGACTACAGCGATGTCTCCCCTTCTAGACTTCAGCTCCCCTTCAAGACTACAGCGATGTGTCCCCTTCTAGGCTAGAGCGATATCTCCCCTTCTAGACAACAGCGATGTCTCCACCTTCTAGACTACAGCGATGACTCCCTTTCTAAACAAGATAGTGACGAAAGAAAGGCAGCGCCCATTGCCAGAATGTAATCTTGAT